GCCCCCCGCGTCTGCGCGCGAGACTAACATGCTGCAGTCGGCCCCCACAGACGCGAAGCCGTCGCCCCTCTTCTTCAACAGCGCGCGCGGGTCGCGTCAGTCACCCTTTGGCCGTCCGGGCTCCATCCGACAGGGCTCTCCGTCGACAGCGCGGCCCTCGACGCCGACCAGCTCGCCGCTGAAGTCCAACACACCGAGTGCCGTGTCGCCAGCGCCTCTCTCCACCAGCAACGTCTCGCAGAATGCGCCGCTATGGCTGAAGACTGGGGGGACTCCAAGTGGCGGGGAGCCGCCCAGCTCGCCCTCGCAGCTCCGCTCGCCGTCTCGAGGCCTGCGCTCGCCATCCAGAGAGCCGCTGTCTCCTGGGCCACAGCTGCTGTCGCCAGCGCGCGAGCGAACCCCGTTTGACCACACGCGCAACACGTCCGGCTCGACCAACGCTACCGTACGCCCACTCAGCACAGCATCGCTCGCCGCCAAGTTTGACGGTGGGCGAGAACGATCAAGCACACCGCCCCTTGTCTCGCGAGACAGCACCACGCCGGTCGTCGAGAGAGCAGTCGAGATGACCATCGAGAAGCCCGTCGAGAGAGCCATCGAAACACCAATCTCCCCTCCCAAGCTCATGCCCGCCGAGACGAAGCCAGTCGAACCGAGGCCAGCCCAGCGCGCCCCGGCGAGGCCAGCAATGATCCGCCAAACCACCAACGATGCCCTCTCGAAACTGCCGCCTCCTCTTCTCCACAGCATGCGCGAGTCTTTCAGCGTCATGGACCGCGATGACGATGGCCACGTGAACGCCGCAGACGTCGCGGATATGTTGTCTCAACTCGGTCTCTCCGCCACGCCCTCCACTCTCGCCGCTTACTTCAATGGCGCGCAGTCTATAAACCTCGCTACATACCTCAACACACTGTCCGATCTGCTGGGCGGCCTGTCGCGGCCAAACGAGCTCAGCGCCGCGTTCGAAGCATTCGATGACGGAGATGACGGCCAGATCGATCTCGCAGAGCTGAAGGATGCCTTGTTGCACACTGCCCCTGACGCCGGTGGACACCGCTTGACTGAGAGGGAGATTGACATGGTCGTCGAGGGTTTCAGTGGACGTCGAGCATTCGGCAAGGGTGGAAAGGGGTTGGGGAGGGGCGAGGTTTTCAGATACCAAGAGTTCATGGCGAGCCTGACTGGTGGTGGAGGGGGTGAGAACGGGGCTGCGCCCGCTCCGGCGTGAGCTAGCCTTGCATGAGTAGTCGAGTGGACGGGAGTTTGGCGCAAGAACAAAGGATACCTCATTGCTGCAATCTTACTACGCAAGTTCTTTTTCGAGCTCGACTTGTGTTCTCCAAAAACATGATATGATCCTGACATGAAGCCTGCGCTGCACCGACGCTGAGTCGACTAGACCGTCGAGGCTCTGTCTGGTCTGTACACCTTGTACCGCTCTTTATCCTCAAGATATGCCGCAGGCAGGAAGGGTGGAAGATCCGGAGTTGTTAGTGCCATCTCCTGCTGCAGTCTGTATTCACCATCAGGGTCATGCACGGCTTCGCGACCAGATGTGCGATCGATACAGTGCACAATGGCATCCACAACCACTTCGGCATCGTTGATGTAAAACCTTCCAATGTGGGGGTCATCGTACCATGTCTTCCAGTTCGGCGCTGAGCAGTGGAACTTCGCTATCTCGTGGGTTACTTCGGCCTTGGTCAGGCGCTCGATCTGGAGCAGATGTGTTGGTTCGTGTGCTGAGCTGTTGGGGATATGGCTGGGTCGAACAGTGTAGATGACTTTTGCTGCCATGTGTTAGTGCGGTCCAATGTCAGTTTAGATAAGACAGAAGACGTACTGCTGGCGCTTTTGATATCAACCTGTTTATGCTCAATGGTTCGAGCGTGGCTTTTCCCGTGGCTGTCCTCGTACCAGACGGTTCCTTCTTCAGTGTTGATAACCAGGCGTCCGGTGTCACCTTTTTTGGTAGGATAGAAACGTTCACAGTCCATATAAATGACCTTAGGCCATGGCTTCGAATCGTGGCTGCTTTTTGCGCGCTTGTGAGCCGATACATCCATATGAGGAGCAGACGAGGTCTTGCGCTTGCGTTCTTTATTAGTCTTGACGAGAATGTCGGTGGTTGCATTGAAGAGAAGTTGCTTGCTGATGGTGAGGTCTGTTTGGCAGAATCCGTCATTGGTAGGCTTCTGAGTTGAATCCTTGATGGTATCGAGCTCGAGGCTTACCCCGGTGATGGTTGTCTGTGATCCGGCTTCTGCACTGAACGTGACTTCGTGTACCGAGACGACATCGGTCTGAACTGCAACATGTTTGACTTGGCTTTCTGTGATTGCTCTGTGACCGCACATCACACACTCATCAGCGTCGCTGGGTGTCTGTGTACCGCCTGATGCAACCATCCTGTCTGCACCCATGCCATTGAAAGTCCACTCTGCTGTACTGCCATCCTTTCCTTCGAAGCCCATTCTCAGGTGACCGTCGTTCTTGATGAGGCGTAACCGGATGCCGCTAGCACTAGCATCGATGCCCGACTTCACAGGTACGAGAGCGCCACTGTCGCTGGATTCGCTATCGCTTGCATCTTCAAGGTCCGTTTCTGAGATCTCGTGCTGCTTTGGTGGTCTTCCAATTCTGGTATGCTCGTACGTCAGTGTGCCTTGTAGCTCAAACAGAGAGAACTTGAGTCCGATGTTGGAGATAAGATGATGCATGACGATGCGTGACTGAGTATGAAACTGGTGATGACAGAGAAGGTGGGGGAACAAGAGAGAGTCGCAGATTGTGTGTTAGTAATAGAAGTACAGATGATGGCTCGAAGATGCTCTGATAAGAGCAACATTCAATTGAGAGCATACCAGTTTCTCTCACCATGTCTCGCGGCTATGTTCAGCCCACTTGTCAGTCCACTATGGTCGGCGTTGCGAGTAAGAGCATAACCTTGGAGCCCTCCAGTCATCGAAAGACTTCATCTCGCACTGAGACGTCATAGCTGTCCTGGTGAGTCTCGTTCTAACTGCGTCAAGTGCCGAAGTGGCTGCGGTCTACTGGCTCTAAGATCTTGTACAGAAGACATCGACGAGATTCGGAGTTTGAACTGAATTCAATGGAACATCGAATCTTTCGCTCTGTCATTGTCAAGTCAGCCGTCTGAGAGTTGATGAGGGAGTTGTAGTGACGCACGGAAAGAACGTTACGTCGGCCGACCAATCACCAACGCGGTCCGCACTTGCCCCGTGCGTGGCTTGCGACGCAGCTTAGCTGTCCTCTGGCATTACTCGAGAGCTCCGCGTTCACTCTTTTGCATACGTCAATCATGAAGCTCTCTCTCGGTTTCGTGTCTTCACTCTTGCTTTCGGGCGCGTCAATTGCATCGGCTGCGGCCTGGAGCTTCGAAGATGCCACCGTTGCGATTGCCAGCAAAGGCGCTGGCGTAGGCGGAGCTGCTAAGAACAAGTGAGCTCAGCTGTATATCCAACTATCGAGATATGTGTATTGACCCCTCCCAGGCTCAGCGCTACATCGCCCCTCTCAAAAACTGTTTCTCTGGGCGCCACCGACTCGCTCAAGGTCGACCTCACAACAGTCGATGGAACGACCGCGAAGCGACCACACCAGGCGTTCCTTACCCTGACCGACCCGACAACCGGACTGGAAGAGTCATTTGTGCTCAGCGTCAAGGAGAGCGGCAAGGCCAAGGTCTCTCTGGTAAGCATCGTGTGCAATTGCACCCTTCTCTTCTAACGACCTCCAGACACAGAAGGACCTACCCCACCAATTCCTCACAGCCTCGAAGCCCATTCCCGCCTCGATCGTCATTGGAGCATTCGGTTCTTCCACGCCCTACAAGCAGAAGGTCTTCGATCTGACTGTCACACGCGACGCCAACGTTCCCCTCGCCGCCCCCGAGGCGCCGCTCCGTTACGCTGCTGAAGCCGAGATCCACCACATCTTCCGCGAAGACCCCAAGTCACCGCCCAAGGTTATCACTCTCGTCTTCGCCGCTGCTGTCGCTGCCGCGTTCCCCATTCTGCTCGGTCTCTGGGCGACACTTGGTGCCAACGTCAGCCACGCTGGCAAGGCCCTCGGTGCGGCGCCCATTTCGCACGCCCTGTTTTACGGATCTATTATCGCTATGGAGGGCGTCTTCTTCCTGTACTACACAAGCTGGAACCTCTTCCAGACTCTGCCTGCCGCTGGTGCTGTCGGCGTTGTCGCCTTCTTGAGCGGCAGCCGCGCCTTGTCCGAGGTCCAGGAGCGCCGTCTGGCAGGTCTGAGATAGGACAAGAAAGTTTCATGAGGCGTGACGAATATCGTAGCATATGCAATGAGCGATTCTGGTATTACAAAAGGAGCAGGAGCTCGATGCATTGAGTTGGTTACGATGCATAGAAGAGACATCAGCATAGAGAAGAGACGAAAAATCAAATGATCTGAGCATCCCCCGATTTTCGCACCTCGATACCTTCGTTCGTTGAGTGCAGTCCAAGCGGACAGTAGCCACGGTGATATGTGCTAGTCAGAGCATTATGGAATCTTGCACCAGCCTCCTAGCTGTGTGGGAGCTGTAGTGGCGTGTGACGCACGTAAAGTACCTTCCCAGGACGGTCAAGCGAAGCTACCAGCCAGCTGAAGTTTGCAAGCCCGACGCTTCCTCCGTAGTACTCCTGCAATCCGGGTTGCTGGGAAAGAGGCGTCGCGCCCATGTTCGCTTGCTGTCGAGTTGCAAGGGTATAATTTGAGAAAAAGAAGGAGGTGGTCTCAGATACAATATTGTCAATGAGACAATAGCTTTGAGGGCTACGATAACCTCTTTGTTATGGCAAAAGACATGGCCTCACGTAGAGATCCATGGCTGAGCGTGCGCGCTAGTTCCACGTGCTCCGCGCGGAGCCGCATCACGTGCGCCACCATCCACCAAAAACTTCACGACGCCTCCACCACATCGACACAACCAGCTTTCAGAGCTGTGAAGGGGCCAAAAAAGAATATTCCGTCACGGGGAATCGAACCCCGGCCACATCGGCGCTTGCTAATGAGAGCGATGTATCCTAGCCACTTTGAACTGTTAGATGGAGTTGTTGAGTTGGTTGGTGATTGAGCTTACCTAGACCATAACGGATGCTGTTTGATGAGACGATCAGCAGTCTCAAATATTCTATCGTAAATTTACACTGCTGGAAGCTGAAGACTGCGTCTACACAATCGTAAAGGTCCTTGTCGGACGGCACACACATGGTATCCGCTCAACACCTTCATGTGTCAATCAAGATAGGACGCTAGGTCCACATCCCGTCGTGAGGTATGAACTACAAATACTCAACGATGCAGGCCAGTCAGCTGTGCAATCAAACCTACAAAACATTTAGACTGCGCTTGCTGAAGCTTTAACCTGATCCAGAGCTGTTGCAGCCTCCAATATATTCTACAATTCTCGACGTCCTCACTTTTAGGAACGCACTTAAAAGCACAGGGATGTAGGTAGAGGCCTCCATTACCGACAAATGTATCGTAGGGATAAAAAGCTTTATTATCTTCACAGCGCCACTCTGTCACTCTTCATCGACGCTCCCAGCCCCATAACCAACGTCCGTCCAATATCGAACTTCCCTGACAATCTTCGCTCCAATCTTTCAGGAATGCTGCTGTCCCTTTGGCTGTTGATGGGTCTGCGGCGTTCGCTGAAGGAGCGGCCTCCTCGGTGTCTGTCGTTCGCGAGATGGACGCATCTGTCACTGTTGTCGCTCGTTGACTGGAAGGTTCAGACTAGTTTGAGATCGTGGGCGTTCGCCTGGAGCTTGTCGTGCCTCGCGCCGGAGGTGAGCGTCCTGTATTTTCTCTGGCAACTGAGGACCTGCGCTCCATTCGTGCTCACTCAAGCGCTGTTGAGGGCTGTCTCGATTCGATCTATGGTGTCTCTCGCACTGTTTTAAAGTTTGTTGCTTCAAATGCTTGTCTTCTGTTGACTGGACGGGTGGGTGCTCGCGAGGTGACTTTCGCCTCTCCAAGACCTGGTGCTAGATTACGGACGGGCGTCTCGCCGGATTTGTGGATGTTGGGCTCGTGATAGTCGCTTCGGCGGTCCTATACAACTGAAGTGAGTCTGGCGTAGTAGTCGCCCTTGCGAGCATAGGTTGGGGTAGCTCGAGAGAAGTGGCCATCCATTTTGCTGGAGGTTCAAGCTTGAGATTGACGGACGGGTTCGTGTTCAGGTGCGGTTAGGTAACCTCTTGGCCTTTATAGCGTCCCCTCAGGAGACCCTGGTGCCAGTCCTGGTGCCGCGTGGCGAAAGGGCTCGACAGGTCTTCGCACTTGAGGCTCTGGATCAAGGTACCTACGCTCAGACGCTGATCTTTGAATTGGTCGGGGCTCTTCCCATGGTTTTGGCCCTAGCCCAAAGAAGCGAGGGTTCTTTGGAGCAGGCTCAGCGTCTGGCTTTCGGGATGGAGTGTAAGTATCTAGCTTAGTCCAAGATGGAGTGTCGTGCATTGGATGTGCAGGAGCCGGAGGGTATTGCCGTTCGGGAGGGTAGCTGGACGTCTTCTTTCGAGGCCTTTTCTCGACTTCCATAGGCTTCCGATCCCGTCGGACCAATTGTGGAGGAGGTGCGGAGATACCAGGAGCCGCAGTACTGGCTTTCCTCTCACGCTCGACAGAGCTTGTAGCGGACGTCAGATTCTGCGGAGAGTGTTCGTCGAATTGAGGGGAGAATCGAGTGTCCTGACGTTCGATCTTTGGTGACTCTGCAGCGTCTCGACGCACTAGAGGAACCGGTTCTTGGGACGGGCCAACTTTTGAAGCTTTGTCAGACCGATCCAGCTCAAATCCTTGAACAGGTATCGTCGGTGTCCTTTCAGTGCGTTCTGTTGTATCCATATCCATAGATGCTTCCGGCCCTGTTCCCTTCATTGGTGTCGAGTGTCGCGCGGATGCACGAGTACTTTTCCTCGATGGTCGGGCAGGAGGTGACGTTGGCGGATAGGTGGCAGATGGCTCTTTTTGCACACGTACAACGGAACCCTTCCTGGTTGGTACTCTCGAGGCCGGTCGTGGTGTTTCCTCAGGTACCACATCTGGCGCAACCTCAGGCACTGCGTGATACACGTCGTAAGCAGCCAATGGCTCGTCCAGTACAGACGAATGAGAAGAATTTGACTCAACAACGGTGTCGGGTGCATTCTCAAGATCTGGTTGGACATCTCTTTTTACAGGTCCCTTGAAAGGCGTTGTTGCAAATCTGGTGGGCTGGCGCGAAGGGCGTGTCGTAGAACGTCGCGGTGCCGGAATGAGCTTTGGACCCGTCCCTTCAGACTTCTCATCTGGCTGAACGTCTCTCTGAACGAGCAGCGCGAAGGAAGCAGTCGTAGCTCTGGTGGGTTGGTGAGGAACACGTGTAGTTGCACGACGTGGCGGGTGTGTAGGCTCCTCCTTAGGTAGCTCAGCGGGAAGCTGTAATGTAACTCTTGTCGTGCTTCGGGACACAACAGTAGGTTGCCGCACCGTATCTGGAAGCTCTTTGAGCGCAGTAGTCTCACTTGACGATCTGAATGGGTTCTCAGCAGTAGGGGATACGGACTCAAACGCTACGTCAACAACTGGTGAGTTGTCATCTTCGGCCACTTCTCGCTGAATAGAAAACTTTGTCGGCTGACCCGATCCTTGCGATGTTGACCTCCTGCTCGAAGGTGCTGCAACAAATTCTGGTGGTGCCTCGAGCTCCATCAGGTCGAGAACAGTCTCCTCTTGGGCTTCTCTCTGAGTCACAAGCCCTGTTGGCTTGCGGGACGTCTGCACTGTTGCTTGCCTGCTTGGAGAGGCTTGTTGGACGTCTTCCAAGGGCTTATCCTCCTGTGGCGCTTCGGTGTCAGAATTTTGTTCTGCTACCCTGTTTACAGCCATGAATGATTGAGGACTCGCATCTCGCGTAGTCGGCTGTCTTGACACGATTGGCACTTGTCTTGATGATTCCTGACTCGGTCGAGCACTCTCCTTCGCAATGGCTTGCTCCAAGATGTCTGTAGGCTCGTGGGTGAATACGCGCTTCGCAAGCGCCGATGACTCTTCTTCGAACATGTCAAGAGAAGGCCCAAAACTCGTCGTCGATAGGGAGCTCTGTAAAGGACTTGATGCCCGCTCAGTTGGCCCTCTCGTGAGGCTCGTTGCGACTCGAACAAAAGGGAGATTGGCTAGATCTACATGGGGCTCAAGCTGCTGTAGCGTGGGATGAGGTGATGGAACCGTTGGTCTACACGCGCCAGAAGTGGGCTTTCGCGACACATCAGAGGCTTGTTGCTTTACAACGGAAACGTCTTCTTCATCCAAGACCAGCGGAGCGATGTCAATGGGCTCCTCCTTGGCGAGAGCTTCCATAGACCAGGATGGCTGCGACATGACAGCCTTGGAAGGTAGCGTCGGCACTCCGGAAGCATGGCGGGACTCTACCTGATCTAGAAGCTGAGGCTCGGGCTTGTCTTGACCGTGCCGCCCTAGCTCTTCGAACTTAGCCTTCTGTCTCAAGCGAATCATGGGTGGCTCGGAACCTGCATCGGTGGAAGTCCTCACTAGCGTAGCTCGACGGGATGCAGCTGGTTCCTGCATCTGCTCCATTGAGCCGTACTCTCGAGGCTCGCTTGACAATGTTGTCAGACCAGTGAGACCAGTCGTCCGCATAGCGGTTGCCCTGCGAGTAGGCAGCTGTTCGAGCTTGGGCATCGTCTCAGGTTCAGGTTCGAGCTCAGGGTAGTCGGAAGAGCTTTCTTGCTCTGAACCCTCGGATTCCGGCTGCATAGCAACCTTCCTCTGAACACTGACCGTGGTTCCGCTAGAGAGTGCCGTCAAGGTTCGAGTTGTCTGGCGAGCGGGCACGTACGGAGCTTCTATAACGTTGGTTGAGCCAGATGGAGTTGGACTCAATTCCAGTACACCTGGTAATTTGACTTCTTTCTCAAGTCTTGTCGATTGTCGAGACACTCTAGTGGGCTCTCTGTCCCCCCGAACAGGCATAGCTGGCCCCGACTCAGCCCCGTCCTCTATATGGTTGCTCTCTACCCAGAGCTCTGATGACAGTGTTGGTTGTCTTGTCGTTTGTCTTTTCCACACGTCGGGTCCTTCGGTCTGCTTTGTAGGCAGCCTGATTGGTTTTCGACTAACAATAATCGGTTGACGAGTGGTCTGAAGCCCCAAGGATGGTGTGCCAATCCCCTCGGTAGAAACCCGTGTTTGCTGTGGATTGATTGCGGTAGCCTGATGATCCGCTCGTCGCTCGATAAAAGGTGCTGCTTCTTCTGGTCCTCTAAATGCCTCTTCATCATCTGAGCCCTCCTCGGCGTTGCGTTGAACGAGGCCCGGCACTTCGTACTCTGAAGACGTTCGAGATGGTGGCACTGTCGCCTGCCTCGGCGCTTGAGCAAGAACGTAATCCTCTTCCTGGATCGGCGAGGGATAAGATCCGGGCATCACAATCTGCTCTGGCTGGGTTAATCGCCTACTGAGAGTCGACGCGCGAGATGAAGGAATTGTGGGCTGTCGCTAAATCTCGGGCGCGAGACTCACGCTACTCGAGGGGCTTTCCGCTGCTCGAAATGTTGAAAGCGCTACGTCCTCGCTTGAGTTTGCGGTCTGGATGTCATCTTCAATGTGAGATGTGGGCACTCTTGCAGGCAAAGAAAGCTCTTCAGCTTGTGTGGAAGGTGATGATGGAGGCGCTGGTGGCTCTCCCATGGGCTCCGCGTGCTTGCGAGTAGTCACTCTCCTAGTGATTTCTCCGGAAGAGGGCAAAGACTCTGCGGCCTGGCGAATCAGTACATGCTCGGTGACTGGTTCAGGCGAAATAGATCGTTCAGCTGAACGGTGAGTTGTCATCCTCCCAAGGGACTTCTGAGGTGAAGGAATTTTCTCGTTAGGTCTGCTTGTAGTTGCTTTACTGTTTACGGGCTGATGAGACCGCGAACGATCCGTCGGCTGCCATAGGAGGGCACCTTCTACAACAGGCTCGCGTGAAGGTACCCGCTCTGTAGGACGACGATTAGACATCTTGCGCACAACAGGCTCCAGAACCTGAAGCTGTTCAGTCGGCTT